AACTGACACAAGAACAGAAAATCAAACACCTCATTTTCTCACTCATAGGTGGGTGTTGAACAATGAGAACACATGGACACAGGGAGGGGAGCATCACACACTAGGGTCTGTTGGGGGGAAATAGGGGAGAGACAGTGCAGTGTGGGTAGTTGGAAAGAGATAGCATGAGGAGAAATGCCAGATATAGGTGAAGGGGAGGAAGGCAGCAAATCACACTGCCATTTGTGTACCTATGCAACAATCTTGCATGTTCTTCCCATGTACCCCAAAACCTAAAATGCAATAAAAAAGACAAACTAAGAAACTTTCACAACATAAAAAAATAAAAAATAATAAAAAATAAACTCATTAAATTGTACATCTAATGTGAGTGAATTTGATTGTATAGTAGTTATACCTCAATAAAGCTATAAAAGAATAAATTAAAAAAATACAGCTAACCAGGGAAACGAAATATTTCTACAATGAGAATTACAAAACACTCTTCAAAGAAATTAGAGAAGACAGAAACAAATGGAAAAAACATCCCATGCTTACAGATAGAGAGAATCAATATCATTAAAATGGCCATACTGTCTAAAGCAATTTGTAGCATCAATGCTATTCTTATCAATCTACAAATGACATTCTTTACAGAGCTAGAAAAAGCTATTTTGACATTCATACGAAACCGAAAAACAACCCAAATAGCCAAGGCAATTCTAAGCAAAAAGTGTAAAGCTGGCGGCATCATATTACCCAACTTCAAACTACACTGCATGGCTATCATAACCAAAACAGCATGGTACTGGTACAAAAACAGACACATAGACAAATGGAACAAAATAGCCAAGAAATAAGTCCATATACCTACAACTATATGGTCTTCAACAAACCTGACAAAAACAAGCAAGGGGAAAAGGACTCCCTGGTCAATAAATGGTGCTGGAATAACTGGCTAGTCAAATGCAGAAGATTTAAACTAGACCTTTTTCTTACACCATATACAAAAATTAGCTCAAGATGGATTAAATACTTAAATATAAAACTCAAAACTATAAAACCCTGGAAGACAACTTCAGCAATACCATTCTGGACCTATGTCCAGAATCTTTGCACAGGCAAAGATTTCATGACAAAGATGCCAACAGCAATTGAAACAAAAGCAAAAATTAACAACTGGGGTCTAATTAAACTAAAGACGTGCTTCACAGCAAAACAAAGTATTAACAGAGTACAAAGACAACCTCAAAAAGTGAAAACCTTTTGGTAAACTATGCATCTGACAAAGGTCTAGTATCCAGCATCTATAAGGAACTTAAACAAATTAACAAGGTAAAAAACAAACAACTCCATTAAAAAGTGATCAAAGGACATGAACAGGCACTTCTCAGAAGAAGACATACGTGTAGCCAACAAGCATATGAAGAAAAGCTCAATATCATTGATGATTAAAGAAATGCAAATCAAAAGCACAATAAGATACCATCTCACATCAATCAGAATGGTTATTAATAAAAAGTCAAAAAATAACAGGAATGCTTATACACTTTTGGTGAGAGTGTGAATTAGTTCAACCTTTGGAAAGCAATGTGGCGATTTCTCTAAGACCTAAAAATAGAAATATAATTTGACCCAGAAATCCCATTTCTTGGTATATTCCCAAAGGAATATAAATCGTTCTCTTGTAAAGATACACGCAGCACATATTTGTTCATTGAAGCAGTATTCACAATAGCAAAGACATAGAATCAATCTATATGACCATAAGTAGTAGACTGGATAAAGAGAATGTGATACATAGACTGGATAAAGAAAATGTGATACCATGGAATGCTACACAGCCATTTAAAACTAAGATCATGTTATTTGTAGCATCATGGATGAAGCTTAAGGCCATTATCCTTAGCAAACTACGCAGGAACAGGAAAAGAAATATCACATGTTCTTACTTATAATTTTGAGCTAAATGATGAGAACACATGGATGCATAGAGGGGAATAACAGACGCTGAGGCCTGTCAGAGTGTAGGGGAGGGAGGAGGGAGAGGATCAGGAAAAATAACTAATGCGGACTAGGCTTAGTACCTGGGTGATAAAATAATCTGTACATAAAAACCCCATGACACAAGTTTATGTATGTAACGAACCTGCACATGTACCCCTGAACTTAAAAGTTAAATAAAAACAGATATAATTACAATAGCTAGTGAGAAATCATGAGAAATAAACAAAGTAATGGAAAGAAGGACAGGAGAAAAAAGATAGATTGAAATCCCATTCCATAGGTTTCCTGTTCATTCTGATGATAGTTTCTTTTGCTGTGCAGAAGCTCCTTAGTTTAATCAGATCCCATTTGTAAATTTTGGCTTTTGTTACAATTGCTTTTGGTGTTTTCATCAAGAAGTCTTTGCCCATGCCTATGTCCTGAATGGTATTGACTAGGTTTTCTTCTAGGATTCTTATGGTTTGGAGTTTTATATTTAAGTCATTAATCCATCTTGAGTTAATGTTTGTATAAGGTATAAGGAAGGGGTTCAGGTTCAGTTTTCTGCATATGGTGAGACAGTTTTCCCAACACCGTTTATTGAATAGGAGATGATTTCCCCATTGTTTTCCTCAGATTTGTTGAAGATCAGATGATTGTAGATGTGTGGTGTTATTCCTGAGGTCTCTGTTCTGTTTCATTGGTCTATATGTCTGTTTTAGTACTAGTACCATGCTACCATCTGGCAAATATGTAATATCCAGAATCTACAAGGAATTCAAAGAAATTTACAAGAAAAAAATAATCCCATCAAAAGTGGGAAAAAATATGAACAGATACTTCTCAAAAGAAGACATTTACATAGCCAACAAACATAGGAAAAAGAGCTCAATATTACTGATCATTAGAGAAATCCAAATCAAAACCACAATGAGATATCATCAGATGCTAGTCAGAATGGTGAATTATTAAAAAGTCAAGAAACAATAGATGCTGGCAAGGCTGTAAAGAAACAGAAACACTTTTACACTGTTGGTGAAAATGTAAATTAGTTAAACCATTGTGGAAGACAATGTGGTGATTCCTCAAGAATCTAGAACCAGAAATACCATTTGTCCCAGCAATCCCATTACTGGGCATATACCCAAAAGATTATAAATCATTCTACTATGAAAACACATGTACACATATGTTATGTTTATTGCAGCACCATTTACAACAGTAAAGTAATGGAACCAAGCCAAATGCACATCAGTTATAGACTGGATAAATAAAATGTAGTACATATATACCATGGAGTACTACACACCCACACAAAGAAATGAGATCATCTCCTTTGCAGGGATATGGATGAAGCTGGAAGCCATTATCCTCAGCAAACCAACACAAGAACAGAAAACCAAACACCACATGCTCTCACTCATAAGTGGCAGTTGAGCCATGAGAAACATGGAGGCAGGGAGGGGATTAACACACATCAGAGCCTGTTGGAGGTGGAGGGCAAGGGAAGGAAGCTTAATGGATGGGTCAATAGGTACAGCAAACCACCATGGTACACATATATCGATGTAACAAACCTGCACATTCTGCACATGTATTCTGGAACTTAAAGTAAAATAAACACTTTTAAAAACAAACAAAACCCTAAAAACAAGCTATGGGTGAAAACACTTGTGCTGTTTTATATCACAGAATAGAACCTGTCCTTTTATTCAAGTTTGAAACACTCTTTTTTGTAAAATCTAAGAAGCGACACTTCTGAGCCTATTGAACCCTTATAGGAACATACGAATATTCAATCCTAAAAACTAGAAACAAGCTATCTGTGAAAATGAAAAAAAAAAAAAAAAAAAAACAAACAAAACCAAACAACAACAACAAAAAAAAAACAGAGAAATCCCTAAGTTTAATGAACTTTCTGTGTTGTCCACTGTTATTCACTGGGTTCCTTCCTCCCTCCCTCTTTCACTCCCTCCATTTCTTCCTTCTTTTCTTCATTCCTTCTTGCATCCATTTATTTTTTCTATATTCTTATTCTTTTGGCTATAATTAAACTGATGACAGTTTCACTTTAATCAAGGTAAACAAGGTTGTTGGGATCTGTTCTGATAGCCTTTTGTTATTTGAAACTACGTGACCAATAGGATCCCCAAATTTCCAGAAACACTGATATAAGATTTTCTAGGCATTGCCTATTTTGTACTGAGAAAATTATTTTACTTCTATCTGCTTTGTCATATTAAAGGAAGCTGACATATGAGATCATCCTTTAACATTTTGTGGCCTGGGAATAGTTTTATCTGAACAGCTTTTGGTATGCAATAACATTTCAGAATAGTGTGAAAAGCAGGTCAAATTTCTGTACACTTTCAAATATGTATTTCTTCATTTTTTATTTTATATTTTGTCTTTGAGAATAATTATTTTATGTGTGTCAAGCACTGTGATACTTTAATATTTTATTATGTAGAATTTAAAATAGATACAATGGGAGACAAAATAATAAAAGGAACTGCTCACCTAACTTTATCAATATCATAGCAATTAATTTTTTTAAGTAGCATTAAGTTCCTACCTTTTTGAAACCCCTGATTTAAAAAAAAATCAGTTATCTTTTTGGTTTTGTATTACAGGAGCTGAATAAAGATACATATGACTTTGCCCTCTTCAGGATATTGGAAAAACCCTTAAAGAAAGCAAATAAGGGTGGTGTTCATTTTACTTATTGCTGAAAACAAAGTATTAATTTCTTCAAATATTCATATATTTTATACCTTAATATAAAAGCAGACTAAAATTTTTCCTGCATTGATCCAAATTATTATAGTGTTTGGGTCAAACAGGCAATATTGTCCTTTTAGAGGTTGTATAGTATGATTGTATCATGAGCAAATTATTTGGGCAAATGTCAAATGACATTTTCCAGCAAGTTATAATCAATAGGTGCTTATTCAACAAATTATTTTGTCCAGAGAGTAGAGCCCCAGGTGAACCAATAATCAGGAATTCTCTGTGACCTCCCTTTTCGCCGTGACTTGCTTTGTGAATTGGAAAAATCAGTTAAGCTCTCGGTGCTTCAGTTCATTCGTCTATGAACTGAGGAGAGTAGCATTTGCCACCTAACTGGCCAGTATTTTGTGAAGGTTAATGAGCTTCAGAGTTTATAAAGTGCTTTTCTTTCTGGATTGAAAGACTTTTGAAGAGTACTAAGTATCACTGTTATTTTTTTTTCCTTTTCTACTTAAAACTCCACTAACTTATCTTTTAGAAACCCATGAAATTATACTTAAAAGTAAAATGCTTCTAGTAGCACCATCCCATATATATCATTTTATCATAGCACTAAGAAAACATCAGCAGCACTGCTATTGTACTGGATTCACATAACTCATATTATTAAGGTCGAACACATTGTGCCCTAATAACGCATGCGTGTTTGACAGCTGTTTCCAACTTAAAATACTTTAGTTCTAACCAGTTTGTCAAGGTCCTATCATTTCTTGGCATAGTTTTATAAGTTAAATATTAAAAAGAAAAAAAAAAGTTGTTCTCTGAACAAATGTGCCTATTATACGATGCTGCAATGAATGAAAAATGTTAAGATCAAGATCTTAACTGAAACTCACAAAAGTAAGATGATTTCATGTCAGTGGAAAATCTGTGCTGTTACTTTACATTTTTTGAAACAATTTTGCCAAAGCTCTGCTTGAGATAAGGAAACTTTTAATAGCACAGGATCCTGGACTTCAGGTGAAGTGTAACAATTTCTGTTTCATGGATTTTAATTAATTTCACAGTATATATATGTTTTTAAATTTGAATGAGAAAAAATCATATACTTTTTATTCCATTAAATGAGTTTATCTTAGAATTTTAGAAGGAAAGGTGTCAAGGTATAGAATTGCCTTTTACAAAATTACAGTTTTTCTGTTCACTTTAAATATTTAAAAAATATCCATTGCACCATATATTCAAGCTATATTATATGCATATAAATACAAATGTGCGCACACACACACACGCACACACACACACATATTTAAAGAAAAAACTACAAGGGAAACAATTAAAATACATATATTTTGCACTTTTGATTTCTCTCTGAACAGGAGAAAGAAACTATCCAAAAAGCCTGGAGGAATAGTACCCTCATGATTTTTCCCTGACTATGGAAATCAGTGAAATTATCTATTATGGTTTTAGTTCAAAGTAAATACAAGTGAAAATCAATATTATCTGAAAGTTTACAGAAAAATAATCCAAAATAATTTTAGATATTTTGGGGCACCACCCATCAAAGGACTGTCACTGACAAAGAATTCATTTCTTTGATCTCTCAAAATGAAAGTAATACGTAAAGGTAAAATGGAGAGATTTGTAAGATTATCACCTAGATACCAACATGTCTTTCTTTGTTCTTTCCTAGGATGGCAACCAGCCTCTACCCCCATGTCTTTATGGATGTAAATAGAGGCACTTATAATAAATGGCAACAGAAATTCAGACTCCTACAAGAAGATACAAGGAATTTCTCTCTTAAAACACAATTTACTATTGTAACTGTGACTGGATAGTCAGATATCCAAATTATTTACACAGGCATCCTTAATTTAGAACAAGTAGTTTATAAAAAGCAAAATTTTTGTTTAATTCTTTTTCTCCTCTTGGGGCAATATAATGCTGTGGTTCCCATGTGCCAGTTCTCAGACCAGAGCTGGTTTTGATCACATCTTTACACGTTCAAGGCAACATTTTTATGTATGTGAAAGTAAAATTGTCAGTTATCCTCCTTTATAAAATATACCTTTTAGTCCAAGGATCTGCCTTTCTTAATTATTTTGTGATAGAGTTACTGTTTTTTATAAAATAGTGGTGATAGAGTAAATTTTTAACAATAATATCCTTACTTAGCAAAGTTAAAAGTTAGAAAACTTACGTTGTTCCTGGTTCCTTCACACTACCATTTTTTAAAGAAAATAATATATTTATCACTGAAATCCAAATACAAAGCACTTTGTTTTTAAATATAATATAATAGCTTCAGATCAGGTAAGAAAGCAAGGATGAATAGTGTCATTAAGTTGCTGCAAACTTATTTGTGGTTTTTGCCATTACTTTTAATATCAAAGTCAATATTAGAAAAGTCATTAACTTAGAAAAAATTTATTTTTCACTAAAATATACATTAATATGAAAAATAATAACTGCTATTTATATTATGTGTAATATTCCTAAAGAGGACTTTTATATGAGGAAATTTGATGTGATATATAAAATTAATGCCTCTTTTTTCTGTGAAAGAATTATGACATTTTTTATGTATAACCTATGATTGAGATAAGATTTTATTAAAAATATATGAGATGAAAAAGATCATTTGGGGACAACAAATAAATGTGATGATGTAAATTAATCAACAATTTCTCCCTATAAGCCAAACCAACTCAGACAGTCCACCCATGTTATCTGACCACTGTCCGCTGAGGAACCCAAAGCCCAGACCACAGAATAGCTGACTAAAATATTTTCCAAACATACAGATGCTATGTTTGGGGTGAGACATTTCAAAATCAGGCATACCAGTTCTTTATGATAATTTTGTTTTTGGTAGAGGAAGATAAACTTTATAGCTGATAGAAACTTCTGGATACCTTCTAATGCTTAAAAAATACAGGCTGGAAGAAGTCTCTATTTTTGTTACACATCCCAATTTCCAAGTTTGTTTGGATTTTAGTAAGATACTGGCATCATATGAACCCTAGTGTAGCATTATAAATATTTTCATAGGAAAAAAGACTCATTGAAAGTTATCACAGCTTTCTGGCTGATAACTGTGAAAAATCCTACTTATTTTGACCACATCTGCCCAGAGGAGTTTTAATGTCCAGCCCTGAGTAGATAGAGCAGAGTCCTTACTAGCTTCTGAATGACAGTTTTATAAGGCCACATTTTTTAAAAATTGCATTGAGTCTATGAGCTTGCTTTTCCCCTGTGTATGTAAAGCTTGGTTACATTGTGGTATCTTTGCTGAAACTAACTTTATCTGCATAATTTTGGTCTCTGTAGATGAAAAATGTTAGTGCTGGAAAATTCCTGGACAGTGATTTTAGAGGTGCATGGCCATAAAAATATTTCCTTCTTTTCACTGCTTGACTTAGCAAAATAAACTCATTTTAGTTTTATAAAATGTAGGCAATAATTCAATCGTAAAGGACTCTTATTTTTACTTTAAATGATTTAATCTTTTGCCTTTACATAACCTTTTAGTATTATCTTTTAATAAAAAGGATAGGCTGTATAATGGTACTTTTGGCATTGCAAAGAGAATTTGAAAATATCATTTTCAACCCAATATATATTTCATGCTAAGTACATGGACAGGAAGTTTGGTTTGGAGAATAATTATTTAGGCTTCCAATCAGAAGGCTGAATGTGCTGATCCTCATTCTTTCACTGACTTCATTGTTTTTCCAAATTTATTGTGCTGTGCCAAGGTTTCTCACCTATGAAAGAGGACTACTTAGGCCAAAGCAAAGAGAGAGAGAGAAAGGGGAGAATTGACAAGTTTTAGAATTTCATGTGCATAACAGTAGGCTCCATATTTTCCCTAGTATATAATGATATACAGTGCATTGGGAGGTCTATGTTGATAATGATCTCAAAATATTAATAATAAATATGACAGAAATTGGCACATTAAATAAATCTGTGTTTATGTAATTTTCCAATGATAAAATTAAACAAAATTAACCAATAAAAAGTAGGACGTTCACTGTATTTTTTTTGGGCAGTTTAATTTTATTTAATGTTAGAGGAAAATTTTTTGATGAGGAATAGATTATATTCAATTAAGGTATATGTATACATATGCCTTGTTTATAAATATATACATAGATTATATTTCAAGTGCTAGGGAGAAATTATTTTGGGGGAAGAATAGATCATTTCTATCAAGACATTGGCATTAAGTTCTTAATAGTCAAATGGGGGGGGAGGGTGCCAAGATGGCTTTGAGAAGCCAGCACTGGAATGCAGCTCCCAGCGAATGAGACGCAGAGGGCTAGAGGACTTCACAATTCCAAACGAGGTGCCGGGTTCATTTCTATGGGACTGATAGGGCAATGAAATAGGCCCAGGGAAGGAAGCGCAGGGTGAAAACTGCCCAGGGGGGCAAATCAAGTTGGGGGGGGACATGTCCCTACCTGAAACGTGCAGCCAGCTCAGAGTGTTAGGGGACTTAACCCCTTCCGTGCTCTGTTTCGGATCCTGTGCTTACCTAATCCCTCCTGCAACCCACGGTCCACAAGAGCCCTGCCAGATGGTGGGGCCCTGTGGATGGTTGATGCAAATCTGAGCAGTGGCTACTGCCACACGAGGCAAGTTGTCGCAGGGCCCTGGGCGGGAGTTTGGATTAATGCCAGTGAGATGAGCCATCCCAAGAAGGGAGGGGGAGTTGAAAGCAGGGAAATAGACCATAAGGCCTGGCAGGCCCCACCTCCACAAAATTCAAACTGAAGCCCTCGCTAGAGAGTTTGGCAGCAAATACACCAGCTTGACCCCAACTAGGAAGATCCAGCTGGGGAAGGAGAGATGCCATTAGGAAGGTGGGGCCAATCTCGCCTGCAAACAAACTCCAGGGAAGGACCACCCACCCAACAACCTGACTGAACCCAAGAGAGCCCAGCAATGCCCTCTACAGGCCAAAAAAGATACAGTTTCAACCTCAATGGAAAAAAAGTCCACTCAGAGACTCCTCCTGAAATCACCAAATTCAAAGATTAAAGGAAGATAAATCCACAAAGATGGGAAAATAACAGCGCAAAAAGGATGAAACTATCAAAGAACGGAACACCTCTTCTCCTCCCAGGGATCACAACTCCTCAACATCAAGGGAAAGAAAAAAGATAGAGAATGAATCTGACAAATTGACAGAAGCAGGGTTCAGAAGGTGGGTAACAACAAACTTCTCTGAGTTAAAAGACCGTGTTCTAACCCAATGCAAAGAAACTAAGAACCTTGAAAAAAGGTTAGACAAAATGCTAATTAGAATAACCAGCTTAGAGAAGAACATAAACGACCTGATGGAGCTGGAAAACACAGCACAACAACTTTGCAAGGCATACACAAGTTTCAACAGCCAAATCAATAAAGCAGAAGAAAGGATATCAGAGATAGAAGATCAAATCAATGGAATAAAACAAGAAGGCAAGATTAGAGAAAAGTGTGAAAAAAACAAACAAAACCTCCAAGAACTATGGGATTATGTGAAAAAACCTAATCTACATTTGATCAGCGTACCAGAATGTGACTGGGAGAATGAATCCAAGTTGGAAAACACTCTTCAAGATATTATCCAAGAGAACTTTCCCAACCTAAAAAGGCAGGCCAATATTCAAATCCAGGAAATACAAAGAACACCACAAAGATATTCCTCAAGAAGAGCAACCCCAAGGCACATAGTTGTCAGATTCACCAGGGTTGAAATGAAGAAAAAAATCTTAAGGGCAGCCAGAGAGAAAGGCCGAGTCACCAACAAAGGAAAGACCATCAGACTCAGAGCAGATCTCTTGGCAGAAACCCTGAAAGCTAGAAGGGAGTGGGGGCCAATATTAACATCCCACTTTCTGGGTTGAAAGGAAAGAACTTTCAACCCAGAATTTCATAGCCAGCCAAAATAAGCTTCATAAGTGAAGGAGAAATAAAATCCTTTATGGACAGCAATCGCTGAGAGATTTCGTTGCTACAAGGCCTGCCTTACAGGAGCTACTGAAGGAAGTACTAAACGGGAAAAGGAACAGCCAGTACCAGCCACAGCAAAAACGTACCAAATGGTAAAGAATAACGCAATGA